CAGCATAGGCAGGGGCCCCACCTCTGGGGCAGTTGGACTCTGCAGTTCCACACCCGCAACCGGCACTGACCTCGGCACCGTAGTCCACGTGTATTATGTCGGTGCCACAGTCGGGCCCGAAGCCTGTCTGTCTGGCACCGGTACGACCTCACTGCACGCACGTGGGCAAGCCAGAATTCATGGCCAGGTTCGCCCCCCCGATGGTGACGGGGTACTAGTCATTGGCAACACCCTGGCCCGAGTCTGATTACTCTTCAGATTCGGATGTAGGCTCTTTCAGATCGGTCCATGAGCATAGATCCCGTTCCCAGCACCAGCGTGATCATTCGCACGTGCAACAGTGTCTCCATTGTATCCAGTGTCTCCGGGCACCGAGCGCCCCCGTCAGCGTCGCTCTCATGACCCCCTCCCTCATCCCAGAGGACTGCTACCATAGATGCCACTAGAGACCCACAGGCTTCGGTTCCAGAGCCACTTCCGCACATGGCGGTGCCTGTTCAGCCGGCCCCTCAACCGGGCCCTACGCTGGATCCGGTGCCAATTCAGGAGTCGTCGTCATCTCCTGATGAGGCCTTAGCGGATCCCGCACCAGCAATGCTGACTATGGATGCTCGGTCGCATCAGGATTTGCTCCGGCGTCTGGCCTCCAACTGGGTGTCCCAGTGGGAGCCAGTAGTAGAGAACACGGATCCGATTATAGACATCCTGTCCGACGATGTGCCCGCCTGGTTGGCTTTGCCACTCAACAAAACTGTGGCTAAGATCACAAATGTCCTGTGGCAGACCCCGGCTTCCTTAACCCCTATCTTAAAGGGAGTTGAGAGGTGCTATTATGTCCCGCAGTCGAGACATGATCACCTGTTTTCCTAGCCAGTCCCAGGTTCCTTGGTCGTCCAAGCCATGGCTCAGAAGGAGAGGCTTCCGCAGCTGGGGCCGTCCCCAAAGGCTAGGGAGCCTAAACACCTCGATTTAATGGGGCGTAAGGTGTATGCCACCGGTGGGGTGCAACTCCGCATTGCTAACCCGTAGGCAGTGCTGAATCGATACACTTTTAATACCTGGCAGGCTGTGGATAAGTTTAAGGACAAGCTGCCTGCCGAGGCCTATCAGGAGTTTGTGGCCATGACCTCTGAGGGCAGAACCATCGCCCGCACGGCCCTCCAGGCTTCCCTGGACGCTGTTGACTCTGCAGCCTGCACCATGGCGTCAGGTGTGGTTATGCACCGTGGTGCCTGGCTGCAGGTGTCTGGAATACCTTTGGACGTCCAAACTACGATCCAAGACCTGCCGTTTGTAAAGACCTGCACTGAGGGTCTTTACAAAATGCATGGCAGTCGTAGCAGCGTTCCTCCACAAAAAAGGGATACACGTTTTTCCATACCTGGGGCTGCAGATGTCTGGAATACCTCCTGATGTCCAGACTACTATACAGGACCTGCCTTTTGATGGCAGAGCGTTGTTCTCCGAGCATACTGACTCGAGGCTCCAAACGCTCAAGACACGAGGTCGACTCTCCGGTCCTTGGGGATCCACACGCCGGCTCCTCAGCGACGTCAGCTTCCCTACAGACAACAGGAGAGAAGGCAGCCCCGGATCCCCCGTGGGAATTACTGGAGATGCTGCAGGGGCGGCCGCAGCCCCGTCGTCGGCCAGAGGTCATCGTCGCCGCCCGAGAGGGGACAACCCCCGTGGGGTTGGACAGGGCCCCTCTCAACAGTCCAAGCAGTTTTGATGGTCCTCTAGAGCGTTGTGCACCAGTTTTCCCCCCTGGTCCCCTGTTTGGGGCCAGGTTATCCTGCTTTGCCCGCGCCTGGGCAGAAATCACCACCGACGCTTGGGTTCTGAGAATAGTCAGGGATGGCTATACTATCCCTTTCCTGGGCTTGCCCCCTTTCAACCTGCCCACCCCATCCCTTTTCAGGGACGCCTCTCATGAAGGCATTCTCCGCCAGGAGGTGTTAGCGCTTCTCCAAAAGGGAGCGGTAGAGAGGGTCCGTTCACACTTACGGGGCAAGGGGTTTTATTCCCGGTACTTTATTGTCCCAAAACCCAAGGGTGGGTTTCATCCCATTCTAGACCTCAGGGACCTCAACAAGACGGTGGTGAAATTCAGAATGGTAACCCTGGCCTCTGTCATCCCGGTGTTACAGTTAGGAGACTGGTACGCAACTCTCGATCTCAAGGATGCTTACTTCCACGTGGCTGGCAGACCCAGCCACAGGGGGTTTCTCCGCTTCATAGTGTCCCGCTGTCACTTCCAGTTTACGGTGCTCCCCTTTGGACTTTCAATAGCAGCCAGGTTCAACCTGCCCGCCCCATCCCTTTTCAGGGACACCTCTCATGAAGGCATTCTCCACCAGGAGGTGTTAGCGCTTCTCCAAAAGGGAGCGGTAGAGAGGGTCCCTTCACACTTACGGGGCAAGGGGTTTTATTCCCGGTACTTTATTGTCCCCAAACCCAAGGGTGGGTTTCATCCCATTCTAGACCTCAGTGACCTCAACAAGACGGTGGTGAAATCCAGATTCAGAATGGTAACCCTGGCCTCTGTCATCCCGGTGTTAGTTAGGGGACTGGTACGCAACTCTCGATCTCAAGGATGCTTACTTCCACGTGGCTGGCAGACCCAGCCACAGGAGGTTTCTCCGCTTCATAGTGTCCCGCTGTCACTTCCAGTTTACGGTGCTTCCCTTTGGACTTTCGACAGCACCCAGACATAACTCCCTTATGCCTTGTTCAACGAGGTTTACAGAATGGTAGGAAAAGGCTTTCCTTGTCGACTGATCCCCGTGTAGACTGCGGCTTTTTGCCGGCAAAGTGCTGCGTCGGCAAAAAGCAGCGACCATTTCTATTCAAATGAAGCGTGGGCTATTTAAATCCCCGCTTCATTTGCAATAGTGATGTGCCTAATCTACATCCCACTGTCAGCAGAGGGATATAGTTTAGACACACCCTTAGTTTCCTACTATCGTTTCTCCCTCCTCACCAAGCAATGGGTCTACCCATCCTTAGTCTTACTCTTGCTCCTAATATACTTGTAGAACATCTTCTTGTTACCCTTTATGTCTCTAGCTAGATTTAGCTCATTTTGTGTCTTTGCCTTTCTAATCTTGCCCCTGCATTCCTGTGTTGTTTGCTTGTATTCATCCTTTGTAATTTGACCTATTCTCCACTTTTTATTGTTTGCTTATATTCATCCTTTGTAATTTGACCTACTCTCCACTTTTTATTTGATTCCTTTTTGATTTTTAGATCATGTAAGATTTCCCGGTTGATCCAAGGTGGTCTTGTGCCATAATTTTATCTTTCCTACACAGTGGAATAGTTTGCTTTTGGGCCCTTAATGTCCCTTTAAAAAACTGCCAACTCTCTTCAGCTGGTTTTCCTACTAGTCTTGCTTCCCATGGGACCTTACCTACCAGTTCTCTGCGTTTACTAAAATCTTCCTTCCTGAAATCCGTTGTTTCTATTTTGCTGTTCTCCCTTCTACCATTCTGTAGAATCACGAATTCTATTATTTCATGGTCACTTTCTTCCAAGCTGCCTACCATTTTCAAATTTTCATCCAGTGCCTCCCTATTTGTTAAAATCAAATCAAGAACAGCTTCCCCCACACTAGAACCTTCTGAAATAAAAAATTGTCTCCAATGCAGTCCAGGAACTTGTTGGATAATCTGTGCCCTGCTGTGTTAGTTTCCCAACATATGTCTGGATAGTTGGAAGTCCCCCATCATCACCAAATCTTGCGCTTTGGATGATTTTATTAGTTGTTTAAAAAAAGCCTCATCCATCTCTTCTGTCTGAGTAGGTGATCTGTAATAGACCTCTAGCATGACGTGTCTGTTGGTTTTTTATCCCTTTTACCCAAAAACTCAACAAGTCTGTCTCCTATGTCCATCTCCACCTCAGTTCAAGCGTATTCATTTTTTTTAATATATAAGGCAACACTTCTCTTTTCTCCTTACCTAAGAAGTTGGAGGAGGGTAAAGATCTTGCCCTGGATCACTTGGTGGTGATTGTTTTCATTCTTAAAGACTTGCTTGTTGTCGTTGGGCTGGAAAATAGTCAATCGTCTGGGAATCTATTTGCAGTATTGCTGTGTTTACTATTGTTTTAGTCATCTGTGAATCCAGACTAAATAGTAATTTGATAAATCATTTTAAATATTAGAGACTTCTAATTGGATGGAAGCCTAGGTCCCATGTTAAATTATTTTATGCAATTGAAGGGTGGAGCAAATAGGTAGCCTGTCTATCACAGAGCAATCCTTGATGCATGGTGTATTTTTCCCCTTTACACTTGCCCATCCCAAATTATTTACATGGGCTAATAATTTATTGGAAGCTGAATAGAAATAGTTTGTGTGTGTGTGTCCATATTAATTGTGATCAAGTTTATTGGCCATATTTTAGAAAAAAAAATTTCTGTTTCTGAACATTAGGGTATTTGACTCTGCTATGGCAAATTAATACACAACAAATACCTTCCTACACAACAGTAGCTTTATTCTGAAAGTGGCTAAGTGGCAAACACTGATGCAGTTGCAAAACAAGAGAAAATACTCATTACTTCATTAGCATAAAAACGTGAAACCTTAGGTGAATTGATCTGTTATGAGTAGCTGCTGAACATTTGGAAA